ACGGGTTGTACCAGAACTGTTGGGACGAAATTTTAAGAGTACGGTATTAACTAAATGTAAATTCTGAATCTTAAAACTTGTTAAATTCAGCTCTTTTTCAGACTAATTTTGCACAGAGTAATGTTTATACCATCATGTCACATACATTCGTATAGTTTGATTTAATCTCTTCTTTTCCCAACCCTATCCCAAAGCACCATTAAACCTCATTTTTCCCTATCCCAAACGTCAGAAGTAAAATGATTATCTTCATGCTTTCATTCCTAACCCCCTTCCCTCTCATAAGCTTCTTTTAAACTCCTATCCAAAAATTATGACTACATTTCAACTTTCCCTTTCATAAACCTTTCGGGTCTTGCCATGCGCGACATGCGCGCATGGGTTTCATGTTAACTCTACCTTTCCGAAACATTTCAAGCTCTTCTTTTTATATCTAAATCTTTTAACGTGTCCCATCCACAATCCAACAGTTTACTATAATAAACTCTCCTTCTTAATAATACTCATAGGCGTATTAAGGATTTAGTCCGGGGGGGGGGGGGGCTTAAATTTGGTGCTCGAAGGGCAAATTTTTTTGGGGATCAGCCCCCCCCCCCTAAATTGTTAAAATTAACTTAAAACAGGGATTTTTCTCTGAAAACTAAGTACCACATTGAATTATCTTCACGAATTCTGACATTTTAATGCTTTAAAAAATAACAAATTACAAATTTACATCTTACTACGGTAAAAATCTTCTCAACAAGGGGGGGGGGGGGGTTAGCCACCGTTGGGGGCTGAAACCTACCTGAAAAACAAAGCCTCTCATTATAGAGTTCCATTTAAATCTTGTACCCTCGTCCCTCGTACGCCCTCCCTCATCACTCTTTCTTCCCGCTTCTCCTTCTTCCTTACTCTTACATGCACTCACCTACTCCCTAATCTATCCTGTTCCCTTCGTTATCCATATACCCTCCTCCTTAGTCCCTATGCCAATCTAGTACCGGCCTCTTGTTTTTCCTTTTCGGTTAAAATGATTTTCTTTAAATAAAAAGATCTCATGTTACTCCAACCGATTTTAGCCAAAGGAACCGCACTTTTTCCACTCTAAACTTTTTCACCATTTTATGGGGCGGGACAGATCTGTGAATGGGTGAGGGGGGCGGAGGGGTTTTGAAGGGGGTTAAATTGGTGACATATACAATAAACCACGACTTGCCATCATAAAAAGTGATGACTGCAAAGTCCAAATAGCAGGAAAAGGAGAATATAGGCGGGTCTGGGGAGGGGGGCAGAAGTCCATTACCCCCCCGAGTAAAATCGGGATGGGGTGTACCCCCCGTGATTTTTTAAATTTTTAGTCTTATTTACCAATTTTCTTTGTACAAATTGAAAATTACATCTTTAGTTGAACCAGGAACACTAAGCTTAATGATACAGCAAATTTAGCTTTAAGGTTTCTTTTTGGATTTAATATTATTTTTTGGGCTAAATTTAATTTCTCTTAACCAATACAGAGGGAGTGAGATGTGGGGAGGGGCAGAATAAATTTGTTTATTCTGCAACATTTTGTTTTTGACAGGACTTATGCTCATCGTTCGTGTCAAAACAAACAAAATTAGACACGACAACCAAAATTAACAAGACGGACAATACAGGGTGTCCCAAAAAACATGGGAATTCAGTGACGAATAGTATATCGTCTTTGCTATGAATTAGCATTGTGATACCTAATTTCAAAAGCCATAATATTATTATGTTTGCTAGAGTTTATTTTATGAAAAGCGTAAAAGACTGTAAAGATGTGTCTATAATGTCTCTGCAAGATGAACAGTGAAGACGGACAAGTTTTCTCTGTTTGTATCCTGCAATTTTCTTGTTTTACTTAGTACAACCGTATGCAGTCAAAACATAAACAAACAAAATGTAAACATAGCAGACGAAACTCATACAGATTAAAACTTTCTCAGTTGGTATCACTATACTAAATCAAAGAAATATTTAAAAAGACGATATCGAATTCGTCACTGAATTCCCATGTTTTTTGGGACACCCTGTATAAACCCGAATTGACAGACAAAACTAAAACAATTTACTAGACAGGCTCGAAAAAAGACAACGTTCATAATTTGGCTAAATTATACATGAACAACCAACAGACTCATTTCACTATAATTATAAAAACTAATTTAACAAATTTGAAAGAGGCTTAGGGGCGGATACAGGATTATTACGATAAATCTAATTGTTAGGGTAAATCTAGCTCCCCCCTCGCTCAGAAGGGGGGTGGTAAATTTATTTCGGAACAAAATTTTTTTTTTAAGATAGATATTTTTTCTGCTTTGCAAGTGCTATTGAGGAGCTATTCTGAAATCTCTGAATCTTTATCCGTGAGGGGGGTGAGAAGGTCCTGTCGCCTCCTCCTGAAGAGGCTAAAATTCCACAAGATATCAAGGTCGTAACTGTTAGTTGAAAATTAATTTGTTTCCAAATATTTTCCTTCATTTAAAATGCCGAGTTGATGACGGTTCAATTATATATATTTAATTAAGGAAAAAGATTGACTTTAAAGTGTAATTCTTTGTACCATTTCACAAATTTTTGGCAAAAGTGTTAGTTCTTCAGACTGAAAAATCTAATATTTTCTATGTAGGGGGGCTCGCTATGCCTCATTTACTTTGTTTTACTCGGTGCACCCCCTTCTACAGAAACACTCGTTTACAGGCCTGTAAGATATGCATTAAAAATATCTTTAATTTTATTTGTTGATAGAATAATCATAAATCAACTATAGATTACATCAAAAACACATATTTTGCCGCCCACCTCGGTATAAATTAGAAGAAAAGTAAGGTTCGTATTTAAGATTGAGTAGTGTTGAATAAACGGTTGGGAACTTGAATTATGTCGGACCGGTCCGTGGGTCGGTTCTCTCTTCAACCGTTTTTTATGTCCTCAAACCAAGATGAAAGAAGCCGCTTCATGCACTGCCTGTATTCACGTGACCCGGCCTGGACAGTGGCTTAGTCGAAATCCAGAACTCTCTAACTTCCTCACAATCTTATAATCAGCTTTAAACTAAACGCTATTTCTTAAGCATCTAATTGATAAAATAAGATGAAAACTTAAAGGACTTATTTCGAAGGATACTTTTATTTTAATCAAAATACAAAACTGCAACGGGATAATGGACAGGGTGTCCATATAAACATGAGAATTAGCGACGGCATAACAATCATCTTTTTGAAAATGAACTAAGGATTTGTTGATATACTGCAAGACCTGTGCTTTCCAAGTTGTGGTCGGACGTCTTTTATCTTGTAAAGTTATGAGTTAATGAATTAGACGTTTATATAAGACTTAAAAGTAGTGAACTCATTCTTTGAGTACAGGGACATCCCGTATTTTTGAGGTTATACTTCTAATTTGCCTATTTCATTAAATCGCAGCACTTACTTAAAATATAAATAAAAACAAAACTATTTAAGTAGTTCTATTTTATTTATTTTACTAGGAATAATTACATTTTTTACACTGAATTAGAAAACATTATTTTCGAAATATTGATATTTTTAAACCATTTATAGTTCATAAATATCCTTTTATTAAAATATTAAAAAATTGATATATATCCCATTTTTGAAAAAAAAATGCCAGTTGTTCCTCAGAGCATTCTAATTTAGCAAGCTGGTTGTTTGAAAAAAAAATGGCTAAATCAAAATATTTATTGCACAACTTGAATTTATTTAGGTTTACATTGGAAAATGTTAAATGTCTTTAAATGATATATTACTAACGGGTTTTTTTCAATTAAAAGGTTAAATGTAATTATAATATTTTTATAATAAAAATAAAAATTTCTGTAACAATTTTGTTCATTGTAATTCGTATTTATCCTTTATTTCCTGGAGATACGATTTATTTAGTGAAATTCATTTCTTTATGTATTTACATATCATCATTTTAAACGAAACCCCGCGAAAAAAATATTGTAATTAAGATTAAGGTGCAAGAAATAATTTGGGATATAATAAAATGGACAAATTGTGACATTGTCGATTGATAAGAAAAGTAAAAAATCTGAATATATATGCAAGTTTACTGTTCAATGAATTAGAGCCTCCCTGTGGCTCTAGGGGGTGCATGTCTAGGTGGGGCACAGGGGTACCGAACCCCCCTCCACTACGCGCCTGTACAACACCGGTATAACCCACAATGACAATTACTGCAGAAACATTGTTAAAAATACTAATTGTATTAAATTCAAAAGACATAAAGGAGTTTTGAAGTAGAATCACCGGTTAGGTAATAAAACAAACTAGAGCAATATACAAAGGATTGATAAGAAAGATACTGACTTCTGAAATAAAATCTGCTTCCTGGTACAAGCTGTACGATGCATTGTACACTCCACTGCACAAAAATGAAAAGATTAATTACATTAAGAGCAACGAGATCAAAGAAAAAATTAAGGTGCGGCATTAGATTTGAGGTATTCTGAAACAGGAAGTAGGGGGGGGGTCGTAATTTAGAGATTGAGTATTTTCTTTTTCTTTGTAATATCAATGTTAAAAAATGAGAGAAATTTTTAAAAATCGTATTTGGGTTTTAACCACAGATTAAAATAGGTAAAATTAATGGTTAGAGGTTCTCAATTACTTAATTGTCCAACTTTTTATTAGAACCATAATTTTAAATGAACTGTTAAAAATTGACTCTCGCCAAACTGTAAAACCGGGCTATGGCACAGTGCTGTGTGCGTTGCTATATAAAATTGAGAAATTAATGAGTAAAACTGAGCACTCTTTGGGATCAAAAAATGCCAAAGGCACCGAAATTTAACGACAAAATACTTCTTTATTGTAAAATATGTAGGATTTCCAGCTAAAATTTTTGCATTTTTCGATTTCGTTCGCTCGCGGAAAATGCAAAAATTTTCGCGAATTTTTTTCGAAATTTCGTTTCAATCTGTTTCGCGAAAAATTTGCGAAAATTACGCAAAAAATGCGAAAATTTCCGAAAAAAGAAACCAAAAATTTCGCAAATAATACGAAATTTAAAAAATGCAAAATCCCGCACGAAATATATAGCGACCTAATGTATAGATTTAAGAACAACTATAGGAGACAATTCATATAGTTATTAATATTTTCTCAACCGTTAGAATTTCTTTCTTAAAACACAATAAAAAATCTATTACGGGAAGAACAAAAATAATTCGGAATATTTTAAACTTATTCTGTAAAATAACTCTGGCTGGCTGGCTCATGGCTAGCTGGATTTGGGTGAACGTACAGAAAGATAGAGAAATCAAATTCTCTTCATCAAACATTTATTAAAATAAAGGAAGAGAAATTATTTAAATTTTATAATAAAACTTCTAATGTTGAGCAGAGAAGTCTGCAAGTTTTTTGATCAATTTATTGTTATACTGCTTCAACACCTAAGGTTTTTGCGAAAAATGTTCCTCACATTTTTTAGCAAAAATATATTCATGAAATGCGGAATTTTCGCAATTTTTTTTTCGCGAAATACGAACAAAAATTTCGCGAAACGCTTCGTTCGGTGAAAACTCTGTTCATATGGAATCTGTAATTTATAGAAAATTATTCTAAGGTTAAATAATTAGTACATTAAAGTGTACAATTAAACTGTGCTTAAAACAATGTAACTGTAGTAATACAAAAAATCAGATAATATCAGTTTCCTCTGTTATCATTGAACCTCGTTCATGTCGTCCATGTGTCTGCTGTAGATCTCCTAAAATTCAAAATGGATATTGTCGGGACATTTACAAGAACGCCGTGGCTTCATCTGAAAATAAAATGTTTTCAAACCCATGCAAACCAAGTTTATATCAAGGAAGCCATGCCGTCGATCTATTTTGTAAAACAGATCCGGAATATAGTCTTTGTCAATATGAGACCTCATTTATTAAGTTAAAAAGTTTGTAATTCTATAAGATAAATTTTAATTACTTGTTTAATACTGAAGGAAATTGTAAACGCCTTTATTGGACTTTTAAAGTTTGGCATATCATCTATTCAAAACAAGATCTTTTAAACTTTTCCAGACTAAAAAATTGAAGATTTCATTACTTTTCTTTAATTGTTTTTCTACTTAAAAATAAGAAGTCTTAAATATGCTCATCTTGAAATAGATTTAAAAACAAAGTACTGTAGTCATTAATGGCGTTTTTAAATTAGAAGACCACCATTCGCAAACAGATTTTGTGAAAAGAACTGAAAAATTTAGGACTTGTTTAATAAAAATATTTACACAATCTAGCGTGCTGTGGATTAATTTTCAAAGATGAAACAAGTGAATCATTTTAACGCTTCAAATGTGAAAAAACGTTAATTTTTTAAAGTACATGCAAACAAACTTTTTTTAATAGAAAGTTAAAACACGAATTATTAATCATGCAAAATAGAAAATGAAAATTTAGTTTTTTCCGAAACCTATCAAATGGACTTCCCGAGGTTTTAAATATTTTATATTCTATATAAATATACATTTTTCTGATTGTATCATATTTAATTATATGATACATAACCTAGCAATTTATGCTATAAGAAAATCTAAAAGAAACTAAAACAAGAATACTCAAGAAATGTTTACTATTAAAATAATTAGTTAGAAATGGTTAAAACTCTCGTTTCAACCATACTTTACAATTTACATACGAGTAAACTTAGAAGTGAGAAAAATACACAGAAAAACAAATCAAGGTAAATCCAGACAACATCATGCAAAAAAACATGTTTTAGTCGTAGGGGTAATTTTTAGTTATCCACCGTTTGTAGAGTGGGATATCCAATTATTTAAACCTTTGTCCGATCATGTACGGAGATGTCATTGTTTTACTAGCTGTATACTTCAATTTCTCGGCACTCAGGCTTTAAAAGATTTAAACGCTAGCGTTGTAAATCACTCTATTAAAGTGATATGCGGATTTATACAAACAGGAGACAAAGCAGGACATTTTCACATAAAAAACGACGGTTTTAATTTAAATAAACCATAACATTAAAAATCGAAAAAACTTGAGAAATATTTGAGATTACAAAATATTGATTCCAAGAGAATTTGATAAGATCTATATTATACCTTGATTATCTGGTTTCTGGGGAGTATTAAAGAAATCCATCAAACCACCCGCATTCCTCGGTCCCCTAATATCACAACAATTTAAAATTTCTTAGGAAGGGTTTTTGATTTCACCAAGTGTGACTTACCAGTTTGATTTCACTATGTAGAATTTATCAGAATGATTTCACTATGTAGAATTTATCAGAATGATTTCACCAAGTAGAATTTATCAGAATGATTTTAACAAGTAGAATTTATCAGAATGATTTCACCATGCATAAATCACCAGATTGATTTCACCAAGAAGAATTTATCAGAATGATTTCACCAAGTAGAATTTATCAGAATGATTTCAACAAGTATAATTTACTAGATAGATTTATTAAGATTGATTTCACAGAGTATAATTAACTAGATAGATTTATTATGATTGTAGATAGATTTATTAAGATTGATTTCACCGAGTATAATTTACTAAATAGATTTATTATATGATTGATTTCATCGAGTATAATTTACTATATAGATTTATTATGATTGATTTCATCATCGAGTATAATTTCTTAGATAGATTTATTAAGATTGAAGATAGATGTATTAAGATTGATTTCACCGAGTATAATTTACTAGATAGATTTATTAAGATTGATTTCACCAAGGAGAATTTACTAGATAGATTTATCAAGATTGATTTCACCGAGTATAATTTACTAGATAGATTTATTAAGATTGATTTCACCGAGTATAATTTACTAGAAAGATTTATTAAGATTGATTTCACCAAGGAGAATTTACTAGATAGATTAATCAAGATTGATTTCACAAAGTATAATTTACTAGATAAATTTATTTAGATTGATTTCATCGAGTATAATTTACTAGATAGATTTATAATGATTGTAGATAGATTGATTACGATTGAAGATAGATGTATTAAGATTGATTTCATCGAGTATAATTTACTAGATAGATTTATCAAGATTGATTTAACCAAGTATAATTTACTAGATAGATTTATCAAGATTGATTTCACCGAGTATAATTTACTAGATAGATTAATCAAGATTGATTTCACAAAGTATAATTTACTAGATGGATTTATTTTGATTGATTTCACCAAAGAGAATTTACTAGATAGATTTATTAAGATTGATTTCACCGAGTATAATTTACTAGATAGATTTATTAGATTGATTTCACCGAGTATAATTTACTAGATAGATTTATTAAGATTGATTTCACTGAGGAGAATTTACTAGATAGATTTGTTAAAATTGATTTAACTGAGGAGAATTTACTAGATAGATTTGTTAAAATTGATTTAACCAAGAAGAATTAACTGGATAGATTTACTAAGATTGATTTCACAGAGTATAATTTACTAGATAGATTTATTATGATTGTAGATAGATTGATTATGATTGTAGATAGATTGATTAGGATTGAAGATAGATTTATTAAGATTGATTTCATCGAGTTTAATTTACTAGATAGATTTATTAAGGTTGATTTCACTGAGGAGAATTTACTAGATAGATTTATTAAGATTGTAGATAGATTGATTAGGATTGAAGATAGATTTATTAAGATTGATTTCACCGAGTTTAATTTACTAGAGATTTATTAAGATTGAAGATAGATTTATTAAGATTGTAGGATTTATTAAGATTGAAGATAGATTTATTAAGATTGTAGATAGATTTATTAAGATTGTAGATAGATTTATTAAGATTGTAGATAGATTTATTAAGATTGTAGATAGATTTATTAAGATTGTAGATAGATTTATTAAGATTGTAGATAGATTTGCAAAGATTTAGTTTTCTGATTATAATTTACTAGATAATATCTACCTATTGTTGTGTTGTGTGCCGGGCCCAATGATTGCCCCTGTAACAGTCAACACTGACATGTCAGCTACACTTCTAGCATCCAGATCCAGGCTAGGGTTTAACAACCTGTTGACAGTATACCCTTCAGCTACCTCGGGAACCTATGTATTAAGGGCAGTGAAAACTAGGTAAATCAGTGTAATGAAGACAAACACAAATACAATTTAGTGACGGATAAAAATGTTAAATTAAGTTAATCAAATAAACATTGAGGCATGATTGATAATATCTGCAATAAGTTTTAAATACGAAGATCTTTTTAAAAATAACAAAATTATGGCCAGTTTTGTTGCACCATGGTTACCCACACAGGATGAGACTTTCCTCAGGACCTCTATAAATATGACGATGGGAAGGTTTAACGGATAAACTGATTAATTTGAATAAAGAAGACAAGAATATAACTGCAGCTAGGACATCATGAATGTAAGAAAAAGGATTGAGTAAGTTCCATCTCTAAAGTTTCATCCTTTATGGATAACTTTGTAATTTGCAACACATTCAATATCTAGCTACATTCTCCACACAATGAACATGACAATAAACATAATGTCAGGAATATTAGATTGGTGGACAAAACAAGAAACTAGAAGTCATTTCATATTTAGGTGAAAGTTAGAATTGTGTGAGTCCCTTTTAAACAAGATTTGACAAATAATTTGTTTTCTTCCCAAATAACAAGACAAATAAAAAAGATCATGCAAAACATTTACATTGTTCTTACCATGTAGTTTTCCTGGTATAAGTCCTGTATGAAAGAGGGTTTTAGAGAAAACATTAAATTTAAGAATATCTCACAATTTAAATTTATTCCAAATTTATTTATATATATATACATATTTGGCTTGTGTGTCTGTATCCAATAATCGTCTAAACGGCTGACCCGGTCAGGTCTATTTTTTTTAAGCTACTCGCATGACCACGAGGAATGATTATGAACCGTCAAAAAATGAAAATTTTGACATTTATTATTTCAAAATGCGCCAATTCAAACAGAAAAATCCGCGAAAAGAGAACGATTAAAAATGACGACTTGCAAAACAACAGTTAAGAGCCAAACTTTTTAAAATGGAAAGGTGGCGCGAAGAGCCCTTAAAGCCTCGTGATTCAAATTTCCCACCATAAATGCGTAAAGCGTATACCTTCTCTAGTCGGCTAACAGTCAGTTGACTGGGGGCCCCAGAACCACGCTGTATATGGCCCATATTCTGCAACATTAAAAAATATTGAAAATTTTAAATTTATCATACGAAGGTTTCAGTTACCTCAATAAATTGTCCCCAAAAAATGTATGTACTTTCCATGTTAGTTAAAACAAACAAAAAAACTCACTACAAATTCAAACTTTCTAATCCATAAATATTTCCAACTTGATGTCGTAGACCTTTGATGTTTGAAACTATGAGTTCTGTCAGGTAATATTGTCTAATTTTAAATATCAAACATTTACACCTTCAGATTGCAATGATATAAGGATTAGAAGATCATGGTATTTGGCAGATGTTCTGTAGGGTACTTATATAAATATTGAAACTTGAATTGCTCTAAACGAAACAAATTTCCTTAGGGAACCTGTAAAAATGTCAGAAAATCTGAAAATATTTTACGTCAATTAATGACGGTCGTTAGTGGAATTTGAAGCAACAGGGCTGCGATTTTCACTAAATTTTACATGTAACTTAGAGTATTATAAAACAATCTAGTGTTCAGTTCTTTAAACCACAAATATTTTAAAATGCTTAGAAGATTTATTCCAAAGCCAGAAGTAAAAAAATGACCTTATATCCCGTACTTCCGTTATTAGTTGATGGTTTTCTCCCCATATCCTTGTAGCTAGTTCCTCTTTAAAAAACGAAAATTAGTTAAAACGTTTGAAAATAAAGAAACGATTAAACTTTCTCCTTTATCTACTTCTTGAAATTAAGTTAGATTACTGTGATAAATTTGTCATGTTCAAAATAAAAAACTGATGAAAAAACTTTAAACATATGGATATTCATTATAATATTAATTCAGTAGAACATTTAGAACATTTTATCCTGCTGATATTTGTCGTACCTGGACCCTCTGGATACTCTGCTAGATCTGTCAAAGCTTATTTTACTCATCCTAACAAAACAAATTTAGTTATTTTTAATTTTAAAATATTATCCACATTCCCACCTTTCCTGTAATTATAGAAAATGAAACATTTAATCGTTTTGAACAAAAAACATGATAACTTAAAGGGACTGTAAGCGATATTTCAAAACTCTCCATCCATAGAAGGCATGGACTGCCCGAATTTAAACGGCACCCAATACATCTTTCGCTGTTAATCAATCTGTCACTATTCATCATGTAAAGTGTACAGTTTGAACTTAACACAGCTAATGCGCTACTTGTGTTACAAGTGTAACTTGACTTTTAACGTTACCGAATATTCTACATTAAAAACGTTTTCCATATTCCAAAAATTCGAAAGAAAATATTTAATTTCTGCAAAGTCTAGAACTTTTAACATTTTTAATACTTTAAACAGCTTGTAAACAAAGTGGCAAACAATTGAACGCGTGCTTGTAGATTAATAAGAATAAGTTCAACATTGATCAGTAGAAGCTTTTAAGGGTACTCTTGTGAATCGGGCGTTGCCATCTTTGCATAGAGGGTCACTTGAAATTACGCTTACAGCTACTTTAATTAAGATTTAACACTTTGTGTTATTATATTTTACAGACCAGGACGGAAAATAGTTTTAATATCTACAATAAACTCAGTTTAGGATGGTTTTGACAAAAATTATCGATTATAGTGTCTCTTGTAAAAAATTAAAATATTTGATTAGGATTGCTTATTAGCTTAATTCAATATCATTCCTTGTGTCAGTACAATTGAAGGAAAATATTTTTAAAATTTACTAGAAACACTGTTCTTTTTTGGCAAAACATTAATATTCTGATCACAAAAAGTTGACTATTCTGAGTTCTGACTCTTAGAAACATCCTTGAGTCGTTAATACCCTTCTTTATTTTCCCAATTAAAAAACCTAAGTATGGAATGTGCGAAAATGTTCATAAAATTTACGATAATCCCGGGGTTATCTTACAGAAAGCAAAGATAAAACGATTTCAGCAACGTTATTTTTATTTTGGAAAAGTGAAATGCTTGTTCTGGCCCTCAAAAACATCATTCGGTTGTAAAATTAGCTTCGTTAAACAATCAGTTTAGATAAAAAATATTTTTGATAGGGGACAACTGTAAAATAGCATTGTGTTTCCCAATACCCTTTAAGTCATTTCCAACAAAAGTAGTGTTCCAAATAAAAATAATAAATAAACAATTTCTTTTTTGAATACTACGAACTGTTACCTGTCATCGTTCTCGAAGTCCATAGGACTGAGTGGACGGTGACTATGGCTGCTCTTCCTAAAATGACAATGACAATGACAATGACAATGACAATGACAATGACAATGACAATGACATTAACATTGAAATTGACATTGACATTGACATTGACATTGACATTGACATTGTGATTGTGATTGACATTGACATTGACATTGACATTGACATTGACAATGACAATGACAATGACAATGACAATGACAATGACAATGACAAAGACAAGGACAATTATAATGATAATGATAATGATAATGATAATGATAATGATAATGATAATGATAATGATAATGATAATGATAATGATAATGATAATGATAATGACAATGACAATGACAAAGACAAGGACAATGATAATGATAATGATAATGATATGATAATGATAATGATAATGATAATGATAATGATAATGATAATGATAATGATAATGATAATGATAATGATTATGATAAAAATAATAATAATAATTCTACCTGGATCTACCAGAACGTACAGAACCTGCTCCGTAGTCGGATCCGCCCCACATACTTTCATCGGTAATAAACGCCTTAAGATGATGTCTCTCCTAATAATAATAAAAAACAATTGAAAGAAAAAACTAATTAAATAAACAAAAGCATTGGTCATACTCACTTTGCCGGTAAATAAATGGTGTCCCAATAAACATGGGAATTTAGAGAGGATAGTTGATACATGGCAAAGAGTTTTAAAATAAAGACTCAACGTCTTATGAGATTTTGAAAAGGTGCCTTCTATGTATCTTCCAAATCGACGGAGATATTAAAATTTGAAAGTTTTCGTTGTGATTTAATAAATTAGAATCTGGACAGATTTCTTAATGTCTCCGTCAATTTTGAAGGTGCAAATATGGTAGACCACATTATTGAATTCCCAAGATTAGTAGTTTTGATTATTAATTGCCTTTACTAGAATACTCCAAAAAATGTGTTCACGTAATTATACCACGCGAAACAAAGACGATATGGAAGTCGTCACTTAATTTCCATGTTTATCGGGACACCCTGTAAGAGTATATTAATAGGACATTTTGAGAATCGAAGATATTCAATAATCAAACAATGATGATGTAACAACCTTTATTGTCAATTGAACGAAATTGGAATATTAAGATTAAAGATTTGCATTAGAAAATAGTGCTTCTCAGAAATTTGAATTTGAAAGATAAGTGCGGGAGATACCCATGTTGCTGAAGAGATTTTTTAAAATGTTTATTTAAAATAATTGCGAACAATCCCTTTAACCCCCTAAATAAGGTTGAACTCCGAAATGTTACCTTGAGCATGAGGAGCAACATGAGAATCCAAACAAAGAATCCTAAATATTCAAATAAATAAAAGCTTAATTTTTTTGTGTCAAATCTTACTTGTCTAGGAAAATTTCTGATTTTAAATGACCCTCCATTTGAATAGAGGCATTACCGTTAATGATGCCTTTGAAACCGTAATCTGATCAGAAATGCGGAAGATGTCGTAGTTTTTCTAGATTGGAAATTGTTCGATTCTAACAATTTCCTCTAATGTTTCTGTAGTAGAATCCCGCAATTTATTTTTATACTAAAAGACCATAATTGAAAATTATCAGTTTTCACAGTTAAATCATGAATACGTATCTTGCATTCTTGATCATACAAAGCTTTTTTGGATTAGCAAATTGTAAATGAGATATACCAATCTATAAATGTCGATTCTCTTGAAATTATGTCTGCATTCCCTTGAGTGTAAGTAACATGTTATGTTACCTATCCAGGCTCCTGCCATGCTGAGTTCAAGTATCAGATTATCAGTGTAGGCTTTATTCCTGAAATTCCCGATATCCGCTACATTCTAAATCAGTGGTAAAAGTTGACCCAAATAAAAAGAAAATATAAATAAAAAATATAAAACAAGAAATCTTTAGAGAACCTTCATAAAAAGTTAAAGAAAGCGTTATCTTCGACATATATACATAGAAGCTTAATTGTCCATATAATACACTGAAATTTATATCTAAAGCTTACTTTCTGGCCTTGATTCCAAAAACCATAAATAGAAGCCAAATATTGGTTGTTTGCGGAATTCTTCTTCAGATCGTAGTGGTTCTTTTCATCGGTGAACATGGCTCGACATGTGATCCTCTGCTCAAACCTACACATTATAATTCATATTTTCTACAGATTAGTTAAGGACGGAGATCTTTTAGCGATTATAAGACTTAACCAATTTATTTATATTATTTGTTATTTGTTAACCCCTTTCCATTTTGTTTTAGACTATTTTAAAACACGCATTACATCCTAATTTAAGGATCACAACTAAGCCTACATATTGATTGAGTTTNCACTAGAGATGGGTATCGTTTTTTGAACAAACGAAATCTTTGAAAACGAACGATTTTTTTGTGGAAAAGAAGATCGTTCAGAAAATAAAACCAAGGATAGACAAACGAAATGGATCGTTGAAAAAGATGAAAAAATTATCGTTTTAATATAACGAATGTTTTTAAATCGTTTGATTAAGTTTTAAAAATTATCATTTTTTACTGAACGAACTTTTCCAAAAGATTTTGAAAAAAATATCATTGTTTATTGAACGAACGACTTTTTGGAGCAACATTTTTTAAAACCGATAGTTTTTTACTGAATGAAAGATTTTTTCGAATATATTTTTGAAAAAATGATCGATAATTTTGAGAACGAACACACGAACAATAAACGAACGAAATGAAAAGAACGAACGTGCCCATCGCTAGCCCTGACTTCTACGGAATGGTGGTTGATTGCTTGATTGTTTGTTTCTGCGGGAGATATGAGTGAAAAATTGTCATTTACACTTAATGGCTGTGAGTTGCTTTCTGCTTGCGGCAGGGATCGGACCTGTCATAGTAGCTCTATGCTACTAAAAGTTTGATCATTCTGGGCCTTTGCAACATCTTTCAGTGGTAAGATCTACTCAGTATATAATCCCGAAAATGGTAATATTATGCGTATTTTGAAAGAGGCGAATAATCCCTTCAATATATCACTTGTTTTTTTAAATTGAGAATATCATCTTTTTTATATTTTTTTATCTTTTATTATCTAACATTATCTTACATAATAATTTGTTCTTACTTGTTTCTACCCAAAATATCTTGGTTATCGTTTGAGTATCTGTTGATTGTATGATCGTCTGCGAAGATTTCATGTGCCTGTCGTACTATGGCATCAGCCCCCCTTAATTAAATTTTTTTAGTTGGTTCCTTAATTTTAGTCCAACTATACTTAGAACTGACATCAATTCTTTTCAAATGTGACATAATTTTAAGCTTTTCAAAAAGATGTCTAGATTTACCATGACATATTTGTTTAATTTGGGCGATCTTAAAAAATAACACCGATGCTATAAAAATTCAAGGTGTTGGAAAGTTGCCGCCTGAAAATAAATAAATAAACAAAATAAAAACCCATAAATAATACATATATGGGTTGGTATGGAAAACAGCTTAGCTCTGTATAGAGATTTTAAGATTAAATCCTCTTAACGTTCGAAGATGATTTGCATTGCATAAAAACTACTGTAAACAGAGTATAGTGGAATTAAGAAAAGTCCCATGACCAGGCGTGTAGTGGAGGTTTAACCTTGGGGGTGCACTTTTGGCGAATTTTTTTGTGCACCCCCTAACGATTGTTGTGCACCCCCCCCCCAGGAAAAACCGGTATTAAGAAAAAAAAAGTTTAAAATCTATATTAATCTACCTGAAGGCTGACTATTAGTCATCTGACCATAATTACCAATCATTTTAAATGAAACCCCGCGAAAAAAATATAATAATTAAGATTAAGGTGCAAGAAATAATTTGATATATAATAAAATGAATAAATTGTGATATTGTAGATTGATAAGAAAAGTAAAAAATCTGAATATATATATAAGTTTACTGTTTAATAAATTAGAGCCTGCCTCTGGCTCATAGGGGGGCCTAGAGGGGTGCATGTCTAGGTGGGGCACAGGGGTACCGCCCCCCCCCCTCCACTACGCGTCTGCCCATGACATGAGTCTATAGTTTTTGCACCAGATACACGATTTTTCACTATAATTACTCAACTCCTTATTTTAAACTGAAAGCCATTGTTGGACTATCTTGAGGTGCAAAATCGCTTTCCTTTACCTATTAGATATTGGTGTATGTGAAAGCCTATTCCTGAGTTTTGATTCCACTTCCGTGTATATATTCCGACAGGAAGTGGCATACCCTGCGGTCAGAATACAAGCATCCATTGCAACTAAACCCTGAAATAGGAATTTAAGCTTTATAATTAGTGTTCTGCAAGATCAAAACCGCAATAAAGTTGACTGCAGATGTTAACTCTGCTTTTTTTAAGAAAGTTAATTTTCCAACAATATAATATCCTTAAAAAAACCAATAAAAACAGAAATCGCAAAAAATTATTAAAGCAATTAAAGCGACTAAGCAAGGATCAGTTGCCTTGCTACTAACCCCTAAATGATAATTCTTCCAGGGGGAATTAACCTTTTTTAACTTTTCGAGGCACCCCGAACTAACCAGGGTGAGATGCATTCGGTTTCTTTTATTTGAAATCAGTCACATGTTGGTCTATATTTCTAATATCTTTAAACTTACAATTTTGTCATTTTATACTTCTTCGTTTAAAACGCGTATGCCGAAAAAAAGTACAAATGGAAAAAACGGAAAATTTTAGGTTTAATAGGCCAAATTGTGATCGAAAGTCACAGTTCTCTGGGATCAGCACCAAACCCTTAAATCCGCCTGGGGGGAGGATCACTTGAAATCAAAACGACAGTTCCTTTAAAGTTAAGATCTGGAATCCGGTTTTCAGTGGATGGATTCCGTATCCGGATCAGAATAGAACGGAATATGAACACTGGATAATCCTGCCATTAAACAAATTCAATTTTCAACAAATAAAGAAAACATAAATATTTCTGACTCTGGTTCATTCCACAAAATCATTGAAGAATAAAACAGTAAAGTTGGTTCAGGTTGAATAAACCTGACAATATTTGATCAGGTGATGAGTATAATCTTACCACTACTATTGAATGAAGAATTATCATCTTCCAAAACTTTTTCTTGAATTTCATTCGAAACTCATCCGAGGACATCTAAATAAATATCTTTTAAATATATTTTTAATGTTCATATTACATTTTTTTGGCAAGGGAGGACTAATACATTAAGATAAATAAATGTCTACAAAAACAAATTAAAACCGAAAGCTATATTGTACCATTTAACCGTTTTTAATAATATAAAAGTAAGATATTAAATATGACTTTTTAGAAATTAGTATTTTATTGTTTGTACAACCGCTAAGGGGTTTGTTGAGCTTCTTGAATTTACCTAGCTCTTCATTAATCCATTATCGATTATATCCATATATTTCTATTACCTCTGGTAGTTTAATATGCTTCCTGAGATTCCTGAGCTGAAGCCAGTGTATAAATATTAAACCAAGAGCGCAGACAGCGACAAAGATAGGTATTATTCCAGAAATATAACAACCTAGAGAAGACAAATCTATGGTTGACATAATATAAAAAAAAACAGAAAATTAATAATGTATACCTAAGTAACTTATCGAATTGGGTATACTGTATAAGCATACATCATAAATTCCATTTTAATTTGGTCCTAATAAAGTGAAGTGAGATTCATTAAACTGTAGAATAGGGAGACGACTGATACGATTGAAGTTTTGCTTTTAAGTAGTCCATTAAACATGAACCACAGCAATTGTGCAGTAAACACAGATCCAGTTAAATATATAATAAGTTGATTTTCAAGCTACTAGTAAAACTAATTTCTTTATGACATAAAATACTCGTAAGATTTCTTCATCGTCGTTTTCTAGTTCCACCGTTTTATGTGTCCCGCATTATGTTTTGAGACACAAATATATTTACCTCCGGTCGACCCATAGGCTATAGGAGGAGGAGTTGTAAACAGTAAACAATCTCCCTCAGGACCCACATGCTTCAGCATCGGAACTAGAATAAACAATAAACTTTATATAAAATAAATGCAAAATAGAATTCATGTGTGCATTACTTAGCTAAGAAACTGGGGAAAAATAGATTTGAATAATTTTAAGAAGAAATTGCTTAAACCCTTATTGAAGTGAATTTTTTAAGCGATATCATAGAAACAGGGTGTGATTCGCCCTTAAAAAAAATAAAAAATGATTAGCTTAAATAAATATAAAAACTATGCTTACTTGATGTTAGGAAAGTTAGACTAAGAGCTAGTGAGTACAAAGCTATGTACAGCTTCAAAGCTCCTTCTAATTTCATCGGTCGAAGCATCGTCTTTTTTAAGATAATTAGATTCAATGAAAAAAGGGTAAAGATGTTTTTTCTTCGCTTCACTAGCCTTTCATTATATTTGTGTATAGTTTATCTTTAAGATCTTGTGATTATTTAAGAACTTGATTTCACACAGAAAACTGGATTACATGGTTTATGCGTTCCTTCCAAGCTTTATTGTTTACTAGAGGTAGAAAACCTTACTACCTGCCCGCCCCCCTCCCCCTCCTCCCCACTGCCTAAACCAGGCCACCGCCATTTCAGGTAGATGAACTGCTTGCCGTCGTAGTATTTAAAGCCATAGATAGATTAAAAGATAGATGAGAGGATGATAGATGGATACTATCTGCAGGTGTTGCGTAACAACGGCAACATTGTGTGAATCCTGTTATGATAGATAAAAATATAGATGTCAAGAATTCAGAAAGTTTTAAGGTCATCAAAACTGTTTTCTTTATCTGAAAATAAATTTATCTATCTTTCATCAGCATAACTTCTCCTTGGAACAAATATATTTTATCACAAATATAACAACTAGGGATGTGTCTGTTCACCCTCTTGAAATCGGCTCAAGAGGATACAGGGTGTCCCACGAAACATGACAGTTGGTGAATAGTTTAGAATGTCTTTTTCCATAATTTGTTAAGTTGTTTGATACCAAAGATCAATAAAAGCATTATATGAGAGTCATGTTATATTAAAATTGATTTCAAAGTAAAAAATAACGAAGCAAAAGGATTTTTTAACTAAAAATAACGATTTATTAAATGTCATGTTTCGTGGGACACCCTGTATATCTCACCATCAAATAAAGCAAATCTAACTACATAAGTTCTGCAAACCCAGTGTTAGTATTAAAGCAATTTGTGCGAAAATCTATCAAGCCTTGCATTGCTATCATCATACCACATTTTTAAGAAAACGAAAAACCCTAGACTTGGACCAAGAGACTCCATTTCTAAAAACCTAAGCAAAACTCATGCTGAAAGTCTTGTATGGCACCCGTTTTTTTTGGCAAACCCTGTCAATATAAAATATTAATAGAAAGGAGTATATAAGTATTTAATTGTAAAATTTTTTTATTGTTTAATGTAATTTTGACTTAGAGGCGCAACTTCAGATAAAAATATCGACATGTTTCGTAAAAATTGAAAAATTGACCTCCCTTAGTGATTGTTGATTTTTTTAAATGCTTGCACAGACCTACTTATTAAAAATTTTAAAAAAAAGGTTTCACAATGTTTTTTGTCAGTTCGATTAAACTTTTTTTCATCCCATCCCTTATATTAAAGAAATTTAAATAAATCGTTGACTAACGGTCATCTGTAATAGAGGAAGTTTTTAAACCAAAGGCATCTTCATCTGCAACCTTCTCTTGCAACCTTTCCTAGGTGCAGAAGGATTCGTCCTTTTCTAAATAACCGTTCAGTCCCCCCCCCTCCCTCGACATTTTTAGGGTTAAAATGTTTACATACCTTAAACTTTAAAACAGTTACTAACATTACAGACAGCATTTACAGATTTCCAAAAATAATAAAAGAACTTTTTAAAAGTAAAAAAAAAATATATTTCCTAGGAACTATGAAAGCGTTATTGATATTGTTTAACCCTATCCCTGCTGGGGTACTTGAAAACCAGGATACGCTGGGGGGGGGGGGTCAATTTGACAAAATTTCAACAGCCTCAGACCAATACTTTTTGAGTTATGTAAAAAAACTACAGGGGGGGGGTCAAATTGACCCCCCCCCCCCAGCAGGAATAGGGTTAAGAAGCAGGGCTAATTTACCTATTTATTTATAAATTCTCTAGAAAACTAATATATAGTTTAATTTGATGAATCCATGAATTCTTAAACCTTGAATTTCAAAATAAAAAAATAAAAGTTTCAATGCGAGACACAAATAATGGCAAATGCCTGTTTTACGGGGAAACAACATGTTCTAAACCATCGAGATATTAGTCAGATATTTACAACTAGTTTTTAAGTGATTTAGTACAAAACAAGGTCACTATTGATTAGAATCGTATGTTGTACTCCCTGCAAGGTTAAATACTGTGCGGGTCGGCACTCGTACATAAGAATTGTTTGTGTTTCTAGTGTAGAAGAGTAGAATACTAGTTGAGAGGAATATTTTCAGAGTTATCTTCCACCTTTCTTTTAGGATTAAACCTGAGAAAAATTCAAGATTATTAAAAAAATATATTTTTACATATTTCAAGAACTTGTATAGTTCGGACGATTTTGTAATATCTTAAATGAAACTATTGTTCATTCACTCATGCTCACTTTATAGTACATTTCATTATTTCAATGCTAAAAAGCAATCAATAATATATCAGCGTATCAAGATGTATTTAGAGGAACTGTTTCAATTTAAATGAATATAACATTGAAAACCTTTTGATTTTTGATTTTGATGCATTCAAACATTTCATAAAATAACTTAAAGAACTATTATTTTGGTACGACGTGTTATAAATTTTAAATCAAATTTTCTTTGTATCCTGAAGGTTCTCGCCTTTTCGAAAAAGAGGAAAAAGGGAAAATTTATGTCTAAAAACCTAAGCACTGAGAACCAAGATAATAGTTTAATACGTTATTCAATTATTGTAAAAACTTCTTTTCATTCTTCACAACTTTGATGGGGAAAGGGGGTTCGGGCGTAACTGTTTCGAGGGTGGGGGGCTACCGGGGCTGGCCAGGCCCCCACTGTAACATAAATATCAGGTAAAGTAGGTGTTTGTTCTGATGTGAAACAGATGGAACGCTTACCTGGACAAAATCTCATAATCAAACTGTTCGTAGATGGTATTGTACGGACATGTTTCATCCACATCATACTTCAAACTTTTCTTGAAGAAGGTGGTAGCAGCCTTAACATTAATTCTTCTGCGATCGATTGCGATAAGTTCAGTCTTCCCAACCAATCAAGAAAAGAATAACATAGAAAATAAAAACGAGAAAAACAATGAAGAATAAAAAATCAAAGATCTTAATAAACATCAAGAGATAGTTAAATGGTTTTAATAAAATGTTGGCAAAAATAAATTGTTTCCAAATTCTCTGAACAGTGAAATTTTCAAAAATTATGATTGAGTTGAAACATTCTGTTTACCTCGTTGTGCTTAAATACTGTAAGCATGATCTTTATCATGTCTGCCTTCATCATTATCAGTTCGAGAACTTTCATCATCACGCGACCTGAGAATATAGGTTTGAAAAAGATCTTTTTAGATTCAAAAATATTATTTAATTAAAGATTACTCAATATTAGGAAGTTGATGGGGGAAATGAACTTTCCCCTTTAATAAGTTAATGATTTAATTTAACCGAAGGTTAAAATGCAACAAGAAAATCTGAAATATGTTTCATTTAACAACAATTTAGGATTTTTGATTTACTCAGTATTTTTTCCGTTTATGTATGTCCCCCCTTAACACAAAAATACAAAAGTGGTGAATCTCTAACGGCTTAAAACTTTAAATTCTTAACATTGTTTTTACTTTTAACAGTCCTATTAGAGAATGAATAAAATATTTGTTGGAAACAAAGTGAATATAAATATTATTTTTAACTCGTTGTTTTTTATGATCAGTTATGAACAATTTTTTAAATTTTTACATAAAGCTGTTTACCTCTGATTTTTTGCTGAGTGTAAACTTGGGGGTCATATTAGAACGGGCAAAAATAAAATTTTTTTAAATGCACCTTGTAGAAATAATCATTATTTATTGCTTATTGTATACAATCGTTTATTTTTTGATTCCCTGTCTTAATTATGAGTGAAGAATAAATATTTATCTGACCTAAACCCTTCCTTCGGACCTCAGGTTCTAGTTGTATCTCGTAGCAGTACAGCACATCATCATCAAAATCCATATCAAACCTGGATACAGACTTTTTAATTCAGAATATTCAGGGTTATCTACAAAGGAAGGATCAGACTGTAAAGTTGACCTAAAACTCTTAAAATTAAATGGGTAAATTAAATCTTCTGCCATAGATATAGTCTTTTAATGACTTATTTAATGATTGGACAAAGAAAGAAAAAAGTCAACCGTTGTAAGGAATCAAAAATATAAGAAAACAGAAAGTGAAAATATCTTCCAGTCGACTCTAAAGTCTCATCCTTTTATTTAGTTTTTTAAGATCTCAAAATTACAGAATTCAGACTCTCGCACAAGATAGACATGAAAAAACTTGAAATCCCATGGCAAATGTTTCGCAAAGCGGATTTCATAGAATAAAGGAAAAATGCCTCCTTATATATTTCCTCTTATTAATAATCATCTACCATTAATTTTTCTTCTATCACATTACTACAAAAATCCTAATATTTTACCTGAAGTGGGAAAAGGCAATGGGAGTTCCATCATCATTCCGCGCAATCAAGAACCTGAAGATATTGTTTATCAGAGCTGAAAACTTTAGAATGGGATATCCTTAATCCCGCTCTGTTAATTAATCTGGAGATTAAGTTCATGAGGAGAACAAGCAATATTTAATCTGGAGATTAAGAAAAAGAGTAGATTAAGCGTTAATCCTGATATCCACCATTCTAAAGTTTTCAGCTCAGAATGTTTTAAAATTGTGAGGAATAAAATAAGAACTCACCAGGCTGCTTCTTCAAATAGTTCAGCCTTCTTGTTTCCTTCATTCCAACCCCAGTCAGACTTTATGAAATAAATTATATTTACGTACTGAATGTGAAAGGCTAATTTTACTACTTCTCAAGATATAACTAAGCTCTTACAAATATAAAATCTGTTATTTTTCAGGGTACGTTGTTTTTGGAAGAACTAAAATTAAGAATAATTTTACCAAAACAAAGTCGGGCAAACATAGGTGATAGGAAAATCCAGAGAAACAAAAAATAATAATAATCAACTTTCAAAGCGAAAAACATAGATATCTCATTCATATAAGAAACTTTTAAGGGTACTAGCACTCTATAAAGGGAGGGTCAATTTAAATTACATCTTAAATCCCATTTAGCAATAACCTTTTGATATGCAGTCTTCATGTTGGATTCTAGAAGTTTAAACATCCAATCCTTCGTGTCTTCATTTAACTCAGTAGCTCTAAATGTTTCTTGTTTTAATCAATATCGAAACCCTGTCATAGTTTGCCAGAAAGAAGAGTGCAGTAGTGCTGTTTTGACGTGTTGATGGAAAACTTTAAATTAAAGGTTTAGTCTAAATTAAAACAGGGGTGAATATTTGCTTAAAAAATAATCCCCCCTCCATAGAAATTCGATATTCTTAATGATATACACCCCTAAAGTAAAAAAACCTCACAAATGTGTATGGTTTTCATTTTTTCTTTAAATTATTATATTTTAGAAATAAATCAGTTAGAAATTATAAAATACTCAGCGATATTTCAAAATCAAACAAGCATAAAGTAGATGGTAACAATTCCACTGTTTTCTGGTCTTCACTGCTTCATATTATACTACTATAATTCTATAATGCAAAACTAACAGTAATATCATTCATATTCCAGATTCCGCCACCATATCATGTGAAATTTTACCTCGCTGTCTCGAGATTTAAACTCATTCCATTTTTATTTATCTTCCTAAATGAAGGCAGAGAATCGAGAGGGTCAGTCTGGGAGTTTGCCTTCTTCACGTTAGCCCAGCTTAAAAAAGAAACAGAGATATAATTGTGTCATTTAACTATTTATTAAAAACATGATGGGGATATGTATTTTCAAGAATTACACTTTTGAACTCAAGAGTCTGGGGGAAGACTAAAATATTAAACATCCAAAGACAAGTTTTTTAAATCCTTTATTGCTCGCCAATTTACACAAGGGAAATTTTTTTTTAAAGAAAATATACATACAGTATACACCTATAAAAATGATCTTGCATAAAAATAAATCACTCAGTATATATCTTTCTAATATGAGGCTTCATTTAATGTTTTGAAAAATGGACATGAACTCGAATTTTTCAGATTTGCAGACCACTTATTGTTAATTCAAATTGAATATTCTATATCTAAAATTAGTAGATTTTCTTGACCATGGTTCTGTAACCTGTATTTCTTCATCTCTTTTAAAATTAAAGAAAAAAACATTTGTTAACAAAAATCAAATCTGAGAGTATTATTAAAATGAGTTTACCCGACATTCATTCTTTCACTCATCATCTTCCTCTCCTTCTTTTTATCCTTAACCTTTTCATTGTTCCGGCCCATTCTTTTTCTGAAAAACCTGAGATTTAGGATTTTTATCAACCTTGAAACAGTACTGTTTCGTAGTTCAAAAACAGAACCAATATAACTAAAAAATTTAAATAAGTATTATTTTCATCTTAAATGTGTTTAATAACCCTTGCCTATTTAAATAATTCTGGGTTTAACAGCAATTGCATGCCAGTACGAATTGGCAAAAAATGAGGACTTTTCTTAGTTGATAATGAATACGGAGTATAAAAAATGTACGATAAACTCGTTAGTCATTCATTTGATCAAGATCTAAAATGTATCAAAATTTGTTGGATAATATCCTTAAAGTGTTTATTGTATGTGGTGTTTTTGTGTATATTCCTGTACATTTACATTAAAGAACAGTGTACACTGTACAGTGTAAAGTTCACCGTAAGCTGTAAAGCATCCTGAGTATTAGAAACTGTATAGTAAAAGATATGTTTATTGTACAGTACTGCACACTAAGAACTGTACTACATACAAGAGGAGTGCATAGGATACATTTAATTTTGATGCAGATCCGGATCCTGGATCCACACTGAAAAAAATGGAATCCGGATCCGGGTGCAGGTAATTTCTTTACTGATATTTTTTATGACAAAGCAGAATTTTCAAATTTTTTGTCTTAATTTTTCGTTTATATTTTTGCCAAAACTTGTTAAACCATTCGAAATTTTATGATATCTCTCTTTTTCATTAGTTCAGTTTTGGGTTTAAAGAGTAAACAAGTTTTTTTTTGCAGTTTTTGGTTGATATTTTGCCCCTTGGATCCAGTAAGCCAAAATCATGCGGATCCAAGTGGATCCAACGGATCCTAAGCACAGTATAAGAGCATAAAAAAGCATTATCTAAAAAGGAATTTTAAAGGAATAATGGTAAACCGCGCGGTCTTACAAGCTCTGTAGTCTAGATGCGACTAGAAATTTCCATGACAAATTGAATTATAACATCTAAAATACATGAACATTTTTGTATTGCTCATCAGTATGATTACACATTCTCCTGCTGCAGTATAATCACATATTCTACTGCCGCAGTAAAAATTAAATATTCTCCTGCAGCATTATCATTATTTATTATTCTGCTGCAGCATAATTACATATTCTCCTGCTGCAGTTAGGGTTGTTGATCGTTTTTGAAAATTTTTGTATCGTTTTCAAAAACATTTTCGGAAAAATTATCGTTTTTGAAAACGACCTTCTCGTTTTGAATTTTAAGAAAACAAATAACGATCTTTCTTAAAAAAAACAATAAACAACCGTTTTTGAAAAAAATTGTCGTTGATAAATATGTTAACGTTCCTTAACAAAGGGTCGTGGTTAACGAAACGACGAACTTTTTAAAAGCGGTCGTTTAAAAAAAGGATAGTAAAAAAATTGTCATTGATAAAATGTGCAACTTTATCGAATGTCGTCTTACACACAGGTAAAAGGTTGGAGCTGAAACTTCTTGATATTTTCTTTGAAACTAATAAATGATGCCCTTCAGGTCGTTTTCATCCCTCCTCGTTAACGATCGTTAACGGAACGAAGAGCTTTATAAAAGCTATTTTTTTTAAAAACTTTTCGTTTTTTGTCGTCGTTTTCATAACGAAACGATCGTTTTTCAAAACAAAGAAAACGATCAATCCCTAGCTGCAGTATAATTAATATGTTCTCCTGCTGCAATGTAATTACATATTCTCCTGCTGTAATAAAATGATCTCCCGACGGAAACTATCTCCGTCTTTCCAGCAGGATCCAGAACAGGAGAATACAAGAACAGTTCCAAACTCGACTAATGTTCCGTCCAGACTCCTGCCAGTTTATATAATCAACTTTATATAAATCATGAGTTATAAGTTAGATTGTTAAAGAAACGATGACTTCTCACTTCCATGCCGTCGTTAATAAAAAGGATATTGCAGGGAATAGTTGATCGTTGATGATTATTAAAATATATTTATAAATTCATTTTAAAGTGTATTCACAGTTCAAACTACGCTAAGTTCAAACTGATCGAAAAAATATTGATTTTTGAGAAAGATTAATTCATTTTTGAGCAAACAATATAACTAAGTTGATAAAATTACTTCAATTCAGCTTTGAACATGAATAAAGGGGCGAGGAGGGTGGCTAATTATTTTTATTATATTCACCGTAACACATGTTATTAATTATATTCCTGGATTGTAAAGTTGAAACTAAGGTTGGTAAAAGCTGAAGTTCATAAACCAATCCTAATCCACAGTACTCACATCTACAAATATATCTCATTAATGCAGCCTTCCAAACCTATCTTAAGAAAATAAGGATCTTAGTGATTTCATAAATGAGAATTATTTTGATAATTTGTTATTTTATTTTTTATTAATAAAATATCTTTTCTTTCTTAAGATTGATTGATTGATTGTCACTGAGAGGTCTAAAGATAGATTTCAATAGTTGCTACCCAAAACCTCAAGAAAGGTTTAAGGACCTTGAAGATTTTTCCCGGACAATTTCGACTTTATTAATTTTTTTTTTAAATGCGCCAATTTAAACGGAGAAATTCCCGAAAAAAGAGAGGAAACTTTAAAATGGACCCTTTCAGTTCAAAAGATATAATCTTGAAGTTAAAAGCTAAAATTGTTTATAAGAAAGGAGGCGCAAGTGCCCTAAAAGCCTAGTATTACATATTTGATGTTGTTGTAGCCATTGAACCATTATAGTGTATATATATGGACATGGAAATAAGTGAAGTTTTATAGGCCACCAACGGAACGGGGTTCGCGCACCAGAGAAGTTAATTACAACTGTCCCACGAGGGGAGGAAGGCTAACCACGACAATATCTAGTACGAGCCACATTCTTTTCACTTTAACGTCCGAGCCACCTCGACATCCTCGTCCTTCCATTATTTTTTCTGTAAGTGTCTAATCCTCCAAGATAAAACTATTTTTTAAGGTTCGGGCCGGCCACAATAGGGCATAAATGAAAAAATGAATTTTTGTAAAAAAAAAAAAATAGTTTCAATTGAACTAAAGTTTTCGAGTTCAATGTTTTTGAAAATGTTGACCTTTTTTACGCGCATTTTTTTATATTCCTAGTGTAGATGCCGCAAATAATTCCAAGTTCATGAACTTTCTTTTTTTAATTATAGTGAAAAGTGAAAACTATACAGGTGGTTACATAGGGAAAATGATAGGCAGAGGTATGCCAAATATTTTGCTATTTTATTTTATATCGCGTAGGTTAGTCATTACGGAGGCCAAAGAGATTTAAGTTTTACCTAAAAAGTTTGACATCATTCTCCTGGCTTTAAACATTCCTACATGATTTAATTATTGCAATACTTAATTCTATACATATTTTGTGTCCTAACGTGACCAGATTAAACAAAATAGAAACTTTAAGACACATAATAATCGAAGGATTTCGAGGTGGCTCGGACGAGAAAATGAGGAGAATGTGGCTCGGACAAGAAATTGTTGTGGCTGTCCTTCCCCTCGTCTCATAGACCCGCATACTTCATCGAACCTACTCAATTATTACATTACCCAAGCCAATTCGAGTGCTGGCAGGTTTGCATGTTATGTCACTCCATCGCGTTCGGAATGCTATGAGCAAGCAAAATGTGGATTGCATGATTGCAATCTTGGAACGAGGGTTTGAACCCCCGCCCATAGTACCGTAAATAGTGATGCTACTCACTAAGCCACGGAGCTCCTTTATATATTTTATCGAAGAGAAGTCTGGAGATTACTTTACAACATTTCCATAAAATAGGATCATTGAGTTGGATTTTTACTATCTTTACCTTAATGATTTGATGTATATTAAATCCAGTGGTTGAAACACTAGTGCTGATTCTATATTGTTTCTACTGTATCTAAGCACCTGGAAAATTTACTTTTTTACTTTTGGATTTCAAAGGAAACTGTTAAGACTTCTTAAGAATTAGATTACGCCTTTAAAAGATGCAACCAATTCTTTTAACCCGAATAAATTACAGAACTAACCAGAATGATACTACTCAAACCAATTGAAACAGATATATTTGAGTTAAATAAACCAAAGAATTACTGGCCTAACAAAATAAATCCTTATCCAACCAACCAGAAATATTTTTAGCTCAGAGATGAATTCTTACTCACTCACCAGATTTTCGTTCGCTCTTACCAAACGGTGGCCGAATTTAAAGAATTTGAGCGGCGATTTAAATTTAAGCCGCGGCTTAAATATGGTTGGTTCCACTTAAAATTGTATCAAATGTTTCAAGATTTAAGCCGGCGCTAAATTTAAACCGGGTTTTGGCGGATTTAAACCGCGGCTCAAATTGTTTAAATTCCATCTCGGTCCAAATTAAATTAACCCTTAAGATTCCAGCCCGACCAAACAGACGCTCTTTAAACAGACAGGTTCTAGCCTAAGATTCAGAAATCAAACAGCTACGTTTTTCCAACAAACCAAAAAAATTGTAGTACAATCACCATTAAACAACAAAATACCTGTCCTGGATTCCTCTGAATGGTAGAGATAAGGTTGTGAGAATATTCATCCCCATGAGCCGGAAGGATTTTCTCATAAATTTCTCCTCCTCCCCCTCCTACATCTTCAGATCCGTCCATCTAAACAAACAAAATTATATGAAAATAACTTAATTAGGTCTCTCTCAATGTAATTATTTTTTAAATGTCCGCAGAAAAAAGAATGACTGGGAGGAGAAAAAACAGAACAAACAAAAGTGTTTATCTGTGGAAGAGAAAAAGGTTGTCTGGAGCAGGAAAGATTGTCTGGAGCAGAAAAGGTTGTCTGGAGCAGAAAAGGTTGTCTGGAGCAGAAAAGATTGTCTGGAGCAAAAAGGTTATCTAGAGCAGAACAGAATGTCTGGAGCAGAAAAGATTGTCTGGAGCAGGAAAGATTATCTGAAGCAGAAAAGGCTGTCTGGAGCAGAATAGATTGTCTGGAGCAGAAAAGATTGTCTGGAGCAGGAAAGGTTGCCTGGAGCAGAAAAGGATGTCTGGAGCAGAAAAGGTTGTCTGGAGCAGAAAAGAATGTCTAGAGCAGAAAAGATTGTCTGGAGCAGAAAAGATTGTCTGGAGCAGAAAAGATTGTATGGTACAGGAAAGGTTGTCTGGGGCAGAAAAGATTGTCTGGAGCAGAAAAGAATGTCTGGAGCAGAAAAGGTTATCTGGGGCAGAAAAGGTTGTCTGGAGCAGAAAAGAATGTCTGGAGCAGAAAAGAATGTCTGGAGCAGAAAAGATTGTCTGGAGCAGGAAAGGTTGTCTGGAGCAGAAAAGATTGTCTGGAGCAGGAAAGGATGTCTGGAGCAGAAAAGGTTATCTGGAGCAGAAAAGAATGTCTAGAGCAGAAAAGATTGTCTGGAGCAGAAAAGATTGTCTGGAGCAGGAAAGATTATCTGCAGCAGAAAAGGCTGTCTGGAGCAGAATAGATTGTCTGGAGCAGAAAAGATTGTCTGGAGCAGGAAAGGTTGCCTGGAGCAGAAAAGGATGTCTGGAGCAGAAAAGGTTGTCTGGAGCAGAAAAGAATGTCTGAAGCAGAAAAGATTGTCTGGAGCAGAAAAGATTGTCTGGAGCAGAAAAGAATCTGTGGAGCAGAAAAGGCTATCTGGGGCAGAAAAGGTTATCTGGAGCAAAAAAGCTTGTCTGGAGCAGAAAAGAATGTCTGGAGCAAAAAAGGTTATCTGGGGCAGAAAAGGATGTCTGGAGCAGAAAGGAATGTCTGGAGCAGAAAAGATTGTCTGGAGCAGAAAAGAATGTCTGGGGCAGAAAAGGTTATCTGGGGCAGAAAAGGTTGTCTGGAGCAGAAAAGAATGTCTGGAGCAAAAAAGATTGTCTGGAGCAGGAAAGATTGTCTGGAGCAGGAAACAATGTCTGGATCAGAAAAGATTACCTGGAGCGGGAAAGGTTGTCTGGAAGTTTAACTAGTTCTACCTGAAACTGTTTAATAAGTTGCATCTCGTGTTGACTAGCTGTAGGACTATCCTCCCCCTCCTCCCCGACCCAGATATATCTAAATATTAAAAATAATTAAAATTTTATATATTTTTATTTTACAAACGAACATTTTAGACTAGGCAGCTCCAAACATTCCACCCAGACTTACTAGTTATCAATAACCCAACTGTTTGTAGTTCTCCCGTGAATGATCTTTTAATATTCCCAATAAACATATTTTATGCTCAACATATGTACACTGTACGCGTACAATATACACACTGAATGGGGGGAAATTTGTTTATCTTATTAAAAAGACAGTAGTAGGTTCAAAACTAACATCTAATTTTTTAGGAATAATTATATATTAATTGTATATATATATATAGGTGTGTATCATGAGAAAGAGAATACGCTTAACCCAATCAACTTTTTTTCAGTACCTAGGGTCAATTATAACTCCTAAGGTTGGGACAGAAGCTGAGTTCTTTGTCTGGAATAGGCCGGGAATGTGTGAGGTGTCTACAATAAAATATTAATATAATTTATTTGTTTATAACTATTTTTTTTTTTACGTTTTTAGTTGGAACCCCTCTAACTGTAATAAAAATAACTTCTGATATGATAAGTGTGTGTACATTGTACTGTGTAAATCACCTATTTGTGGAATATCAACAGAAACACAAGAAGAATCGTTATCATCCATCTCTATCTCTGCTGTTGCCTCATCACCTCTCGTCTAGGCATTTATCAATCAACACTGGATCATTAAGACACAGAAAAGAGAGAGGAGGGCGGAGCTGGAAGGGGAGGGGNTATAATAAAGACCATATTCATGAATTATAACAAACCTAACCCTTCCTTCTCAACCTTTATTATTTCAAACTATTTCATTTTAATTTAACTGGAAGCGTCTTTATTGTTCCAAAAAGTTTACAATCATAGAGCACAAAAGCCCTTTCCTACATCATGCATGGAGGGATATTTTTCAGGTGGGGGTAACAATACTTTGACGGGGACAAGAACATAGAAAATTACCGGATTGCAAATTTGATGAATCCGCTCATTTGCATTTCCATCCTCAACCTTTCCGGGTTTCTTACTCTCATCTAAACACAAAAACGTAACATTAAAGGGTTATTAAAGACGTGAAATTTTAAAAAGAATTGACTTGTCCGATTAACATCGGTAACCTAAAAAACGTACTCTGATCAAGAATGAATAATATATTTTAAGAAGTGGGTTCTCTTTAAAGTAATCTGAGCTGCACATTCTTGCTTCAGAAACAATGGTGGTAATAGTAGTTTACCTTTTAAGCTAGAAAAATGAAGATTTGCCACACTATTGATCAAGTTAAGGTTTAAAGTTTAATCGATACCGTTTTCCTCTTTAAATTAAATGTCATTTGAAAAGGATTGTCATTAGACCTTATATAAAAAATAATGCCATGAACGTGGTAGCTTTTAAATATTATGCGATGATGTTGATTGATATTTATATTTATTCTAATAGAAAATTGACAAACGGAGATCGCAGGATTTCTAAAAAACAGCAAAGGTTGCTTGAAACAGCAGAAACGGAAAATTCATGCTTAGAAAAATTTCATTCCAGAGAAGAAAAAACGACAATGAATTGTTAAAAAACACTAATTTTATAATTTTATTAATAATAACAGATTTCTACTGTCCTGATCTGATAGTAATATATCGATTGATCGATTGATTGAAAAGCTTGATAAAAATTCTAAAAAACAAACAAGGGTTCTTATTCTTTGTCAACTAATACGTATTTTAAGTGATTTTTGGAAACAATTTACCAAGACTCAGGTGTTCTAAGGTTGTTTCTTTCACTCGTAAATTATCCAAACCACGAGCTAAAAGCTAGGAAACATAGATCTAAGAACAAAATTTCAAGCATAAAACTTTTCAATTAAAACTTAAAGTTCAACAGAAGTAAAAAGGGTTTTGTTGTTTTTATGACTATGTTATATGGTCACACCACCATCAAGTAATATTTTCTTGTTAAATTTCATTCTGGGGGTAGCATATTTTTTCTCTCACTTTTATTAAAAAGGGTAAATTTGTAATTCAAAGAAATGTTTCCAAGGATTCCTGTTCGAACTCCACCTACAGCTCCTTGAGGTGGAGGGGAGTCTGGAGAGGATGGAGTAGAGGCTGGTTTAATTTTCTCATTACCATTATCCTCATCTCCCCAGTCCTCCGCATCTTCCAACCAGTCAGTGGAGAACGGTGCCGAGGTTACCGATGTCCCCTTTTCCTCTTTTCCAACCTCCTTAATCTGGGACCTGGGACATAGTTTATTTATTAATCAGCAGCTTTACTTAATTATATAAAAGCTGCTCATTTTCTTTAACATGGTCAAGATTTCCGATGAATCAAAGCTGAAGATACTTGTAAAATTACTTGAGATTTCTGTTAAAATAGGAGCTGCAGACTGCAGAGCACCTTTAACATGGCCGAGATTTCTGGTAAAATGTGAGCTGCAGATTACCTGTAACATGTCCAAGATTTCTGGTAAAATGAGAGCTGCAGATTACCTGTAACATGTCCAAGATTTCTGTTAAAATAGGAGCTGCAGACTGCAGATTACCTGTAACATGTCCAAGATTTCTGTTAAAGTAGGAGCTGCAGACTGCAGAGCACCTGTAACATGGCCAAGATTTTTGTTAAAATGAGAGCTGCAGATTACCTGTAACATGTCCAAGATTTCTAGTAAAATGAGAGCTGAAGATTACCTGTAGCATGTCCAAGGTTTCTGGTAAAAATGAGAGCTGAAGATTACCTGTAACACGACCAAGATTTCTGATAAAATGAGAGCTGAAGATTACCTGTAAAATGACCAAAATTTCTGATAGAATGAGAGCTGAAGATTACCTGTAACATACCCAAGATTTCTGATAAAATGAGAGCTGAAGATTACCTGTAACACGACCAAGATTTCTGATAAAATGACAGCTGAAGATTACCTGTAACACGACCAAGATTTAAGATAAAATGAGAGTTGAAGATTACCTGTAACACGACCAAGATTTCTGCGTATTCCAACATGCAGGCTGGACACAGCAGAACAAATAAAGGGTTCGATGGTACTCTTAAAATTTCTCAAAATATTTTTTTTGTCAATTCGTCAGTAGATCTTAAGATTTGAGAATTGACACACCATACACTTTAAAATGTCATAAATAAAACAAGGAGTCGTTGTGGGTTAACTGACAACATTTCCATAATTAAATATTCATAAATCTCTCAGCACTTTTATTTTTGAGATTTATTTGTACAAATTGTTATTCAAACTTTAGGACTTTTACGCTTCATCATTTGCCAGTAAAAAAAAGTGCAATGATCATCAAACCTCAAGTCCTTACATTTTAGCAATTTATTGTATTTCGATAAGTTCCTGAGTTTGTTAGCGGAGCATAGATCTGAGTGATTAAAGGTTGAGTTGACCCGCATACATCACAAGCTGGGGACAAGCTTCCAGCACAACACAGGTCGGGTCGGCCGCCGATTTTGCTGGTTGTAAAATCGGCCAGATCCTCATCCATGTATTCATCTAGAAAACCCAGGAGTGTCCGTTGCCTACCGCCTACCGCCATTTTATGCGCTTTACAAGAGTATCTGAAAAATAAAAAATTGAGGTAAAAAGCTTTTCTATCACAAGCTGAATATCATAGATTTCTAATGCAAAGTGCAAAAACAAGGAATAACCTCATTATTTACTTCAGTAAAGAAAAAATAGTAGATTTGAGTTTATGGAAAATATGGTTTGACAGGATATGGTAGGACTGTAACCACAGGGTGGTTGCTAGGTACATCTGCATTTTGCTCTCCTCCCTATTTGTATATTTTTATTTATAGTGGATATTTTTCTTATAATCTACTTATAAAATACTTGCGTCAGTCCAAATATATGATTTTAGATTCCCCCCCCCCCTTAATAATTTTTGTACGCATAAGCATTATTTCAGGGTTAGGAAGGATACTTGGTATTTTTGGACACATCCCCCCTCCTATCAAATTTTTACCTGACCCCGGCTCGGACAGGTTAGGTTAGGACAATTTCTGGTCCGAGCGCTGCGGCTAGGACAGGCTACGGGGCCGAGCACCGCGGCTAGGACAAGCTAGGGGGCCGGGCGCTGCGGCCACACCATCAACTATATCCATGTATTACATATGAGAACCATGTAGAAAATCGATAGGATAGGTGGGTGGGAGGGTTCCAAAATCGTTCGCTAGGAAATTATACCCATTAAAAGTCTCAACATTAGAAGTTCAAAAATCCTATACTGGGAGTTTAAAAACTATTTTTTGACTCAGAGCTGTTCACAAATTGGTGGGGTCTGTCCTAGAGAACGATATTTGGACCCCACCCCCCTTCCTATCAATTTAGTATATTACCACTTATTTTTCAGCAAAATTATTATTTATTTTTTATAAGTTAGGGTTGGGTCAAGGTAAAACAATTTCTGGACCGTGCGCTGCGGCTAGGATAGACAAGGGAACCAAGCGCTGCGGCTAGGACAGGCTAGGGAGCCGAGCGCCGCGGTAAGACAGGCTAGGGGGCCGAGCGCTGCGGCTAGGACAGGCTGGGGGGCCTGGCGCTGCGGCCAC